TGTTAGCTTACTACGTAATGATGATATCACTTCAGTCAATGGTGAAACCTTTGAAGCCAGATTGATCAGCTCAGCGAACACAACAACATCCATGTGTACAACGTGATTTATCAACCTTCTTGTGATTAGCAAGGATAATGGTAGTGTTTTTATATATATTCTAATTTGGCTCTACTGATGTGTGGTAATCCACCTTACTAATTAGGTAAAAACGCTGAAACTTGTTTCATTCACCGACACGCAAATATCGATCCGACTAAGTTGCGGAAGGCAAATCAGTGAATTCAGACCGTTGCCAAACTGCGATGTCGGGTGCAATAAATATGTTTGTCACGACGGTCCATTTCAACTTATTCAAAAAATTGGACTTGCAGTCCAGAGCTAAGTAGCTGATATTTGTATCGATCATGTGTAGAGTGACCCGACTGTCTATTCAGATACGTTACGGCACCGAAAGCTGACATAATTGTCAATACGAACCATACCGTACCACACCAATCACATCGCTCAAGTGTGAACGCGTTCGCCTGTTCAGACGTGATAATTCAGATGCGTCCAATGTACGTTGGTGGAGTAGTGGTTACACGCTCGCCTCGCATGTCCGGGGTTCAAATCCCGGCACGGCCATTGGATATGCACTGCTGATGAACTCTAATAAGAGCGAAACTCGAGTCCAGTGCTTCCCTTTGGTTTGGGCTCACCGGAATAATTACGCCGGAACAGGAACACGGCCGTTCGTAGGAGAGTGGTGTGGCTATGAACAAAAGTACCTATCGCGCAAAACCCCAACGTTGCATCGTTGGGTGGTGCAGTCGTCCGGAGCTGAATAAAATAAATGTTGTCGGAGCACTACGTCTCGACAAGCTCCGTAGTGTTTTCGACGTGAAATCCCGATTAGATATACGATTATTCCAACATACAAACGAACGGTTGAAGAGATTGCAGCAGAAATGTGCCTATTCTTCCGGAACATTTGCGCCCAAGTGAAGCGATCCAACCTGCACCCCCGATTAATCAGTACAACATACTTGAGTACAACATACTTGAATTCCTTTTCCAAATACACATAGAAACAAAGCTTTTGAGTAGCTGGTGTTGTGACCAATGCGATGAAGGGCATTTCATTTGGCCCTTTGTAAGTCTGTAGAAGAACAAACTCTGAAGTTGGACCAGCACAGGCATTTTGGTCATACCGCTGGATGATTGCATCGTCTTCTGTAATCATGTTTTAAGCGCTTTCGTGCAACCCGTTGAATGTGAAATGCAATCAGAACAAAATAAACGGTTATTCAAGTTCCCATTAAGTCTGCTCCCTTCACGACTAGTACCCTGCTGAATGGTTGACGGCTTCATCTGGTGTGCGACCGAGCACTTTTTGTTACAACCATATGTCAGTCTCAAAGCTATTGTACAACCCAACGTCGTCAGAAGGACGATCTGGGCCGACAAATTTTGTCTCAGATTAGTTCACTTTTAGACCGTTGTTCAGCTCATTTGGACGACGGGAATGACTATTCCAACATTGAAACGCTGCCCAAGCCTTTTAACTTTTCCATTCATTTTATTACATCAAGCACTGCTACGTAGCCAACAGCAGACAGATAACAGCATTAGTTTTTTTCCCTAAAAAAGACAACAACAAAAAGTGCGACACCTCGATCGACTTTAAAATTACTGTTCAAACCAGTACTTGTGAAATTACAGGAACTGCAAGACTAAGATTCAGATCACTTATACGTCAGTTCGTGTCCGAACATGACCGGTATAACTGAACAGATAGACAGCTCCTGTAGGTTTGGTGAGTGCTTTACCACCATCGGCTCTATCAATGTTCACACTGGATCTGAAAATTACTTTTATGGGAATTTAGTAGCAAACTCACCACTTCTGCCAGTATTAACCGTGTCGTATATCAGTCACACGCACGATCACTGCCTTAGCCAATCTATGCATTTGTTACACAGAGTGGAACTTCATTCGGAACAAGGACCTCGTCCCACAGAATGTCAAATTCTCCATCCGAGGGTAATGGGAACCAGCGAAGTCCAACACCCTTCCATACCATACCACCCGGCCCCACATGATTTTAACGTTCGTATGACAATGCGTATGCATCGGTGAATCACTTCACTTTTCGTGCATTTATGTAAAGTATTCGTTTCTAATTCGTCCTTTAAAGATCTATTCATTTCATCTAGTAAGTGCTGCACTACTTAACGTTCGAATTTTCAAATTCGGTAATGTGATTCATTCTTGATTTTTTGGTGTCTGTCAGAACGTGACCACTTGAATAGTTATTGTGGTACTGTTATCTTTGTTTCAGTTCATTGGCTTCTATCTCATATAAATAAAAAATTTCTCGCTCTGTCACTAGTCTCGTTTTGACTTGGCTATACAAAAACGGGGTAATTAATCATCTCTGCACATTGGACTTCTTTTCGGAAGAAGAGAATGGATTGGAATGTTTTGGAATAATTAAATGAGTGGACAAAGTTGTACGCATTTACTCAGGGTGTGAGGCTAGTATTGGTCATTATCTTTGATCATATTTGCTCTTATTTCGCAGCCAAACCGTTGCCAAACAAATTAGATGATGATGTCGACGAGTACTACTGCTAGGCACAACATACCAAAATGTTAATTTCAGTGTAAAAATGCGTTTCCCGTACAGCGATTGATTACCTTAACCTAGCATGAAGGGAAATCAGCATAGTATGGTTGATTTCCTGAAGCTTTGACCTAACTTTGGTATGGTATTATTGATATGCGATTTTCAATATGCTGCTCCTATATACGAGTGAACATGACTGGACCTCATCAGGAAGCATTCAGCTTAATTTCGACGTTGCTTTTGATCGCGAGTGAAGTGACTGACCGAATTCCTCAACTTTGAACGGATCTGCCACTTCTATTCGTACATTAGGTGCCACAGAAAAGAGAGTGGCGCACTAATTAATATTTTTATCTGCCTGGGTTTACCCCTTGTGTGGTTGGTTTCAATGATCCGCTACCCTAGTCATATGCTGGACAGTGCTCATCTCAGCCAACTAACTGAGCTCAAAATGGCTCGGATATTAAGGCGCGAAGGGTTTGTGGCTCTAATTCCAATACTGCATCTCAACTGCTCCTGTCTGGGTTTGAGCAATCAGACATCATCTAAGCCATAATGCATCTTTCCGGTGATCTGGCCGAACACTTCTGCGATCCGCGCGCATATTAGTCTCACCTTCCATCGGGGATCAGGAGCGGTTTCAAGTCAACTCATACCAAGTAAAGCCAAGCATATCAAGAAGAGCGGCACGCAATTGAAGGTNGCATACCAATAAGAGCGTCACGCAATTGAAGGTAAATTTTCGGCCGACTACTTTGTGGTAGAGTTAGAAAACATGTGAAAACATGAGGAATAAAGCGAAAACCAGGTACTCGTCTAAGTAGGGGACAATGGAGTTGAGGAACGTTGTAGCACGAGGCGAGATGAGTTCGAACTTGGCCGAGTGACAGAAACTGAAGCATCCATGGATACGGAAGGATGTTCGGCATACGCTTTGCTCAACATAGAAGAGGCGCTGATATGCACTTTTCAGGCTAGATTGACTTGATGCGAAATCTCTGTTGGCAAAATCTCAATTCACTTCTCACAACCGGTCGTCATTCTTCACACAGTTGGAAAGATAGTGTAGTGATCTGTTAACGGCCGATCAACATCCCCGGATAATTGATGAATCTATTTGCGTGTGAACTGCATCTGACCATTCGCCGAAAGTAATCGCGTTTTCTTGGACTGGACAACATGCATGTTCAAGATTCATGAGTCAAGAGTGTTGTGACTAATGGACGTGTGCGATCCACAACTGTGATGAAATTTATTTCGATTTTCATAGAGTTTCACACCAAAATAAGATAATGGATGGAATTTCCTCATGTTGCCATCTCATAAGTTCATGCACAACTTTCTGGTTAGAAAACAATCCGTCTCATCACTTTCATTCTGTACCACCAGACCAACCGAATGAGCTATTGACACCACATTTAACTTCTTCACCCTCGTCTGATCGATAGTTGACGCAATAAACAAATTATCATTGCCTGAATGAGAAGTCCTGATTTTAGTAGCTACCACCACCCAATGAACTAAGCTATAATCTGTCCTGAATTAAACATGAAGAACAAGAATGCTGCTTCGGAAGTGACTGTACTTTAGCCGATCTCAATGCCGGAACGATATGGGCAGGCTTTTCCATTTGGATATTGAAAATTTCAGTGGAATGTGTTCAATCAGACAGCGGTCATCTGCGCCGACGGTAGAAACTGAACGCAGGTCAGTAAGCCTATAGAGAGAAAACATAACGGTTAAACCGAATTCAGGAAATAACAACAAAAATGGATATTCTTAAAGTTTATCAGCCAGGTGAAAGTTTAACCTTTTCCTAGGTATACTACACTCTGTGTTTAGTATACCTTAATCGTCTTTGTGCGGTTAAACTTAGTTTACGTGACGCAGAATATGAAGCACTCGCCTTCAGCTATCCGGTTTGGTGATGGTCTCTGTTATATCTGCTGATTCGCCGGCCTGTGGTATCTGCTGCTGACCCGCTCCAGCACCTAGTATCGCAGAGAAAAATGCTCAAGGAAGGGAACACAATAGCTATATTCCAACAAAGTGGTTGCGAGAGCACGAGTGCGAAAAGTACAACGGCCTCAAGCTTTTTATTGGAAGGTCACTGTCTGAACTTGGTCCAATGATGACGCACACGGTCTGGCTGCGACGTGCTGCATATTGCGGGGGCGTTGTCTGGCCTTGATCAACGCTGACTCGCGCCGTCTGGCTGTGACGCTGTGACGTGCTGCATATTGAGGGGGCGTTGTTTATCGGGTTAACATCTAGCGGACCTGAGAGTCTCGGTAGATTTCGGGCATTCAGTGGTTGCTTTCAGGAAGCTGACCTTCCTGATAGTCTCCAAGCCTAACTGCAGGCTACTAATCTTCTTGGGAGACATGCCTTCTGGCTCGTAGGTTGTAGAGATCATCTAATGTTTCGATCGCGATTTGATCCTGCAAGGGATCTGCCTATACGGAAGGCTGGGAAACATGGTGGAGCTGTTTCATCCTTGTTGTACAACAGTATGCATCCCATCAATCTATCAACGTCATCCCGATGAACACCGCAATATTTGCTCATCAGTGGATGACTTACAATGTCGTTAAAATACCACCGCTCCCCAAAACAGCCCACTTCATATGAATCAACTTTGACTGAATCCTCAAGCAAAACTTCTCCCATTCTACCTAATTGTTTTAGTACAAGTCAACCAATCCCAGAAGAAATGCATCTTTTTGAAAACCAAGCCTGACCGGAAATCCACGAATGTCTTAGACTGGAGAGACGGCAACAAAATGGTTCGAGCTTCGGTAGGTTATCATGAACTTAGCTGAGGCTGCGGTGAATAGCTGAAACTTGACATGACCAATGACGATGCAATGTGCTGTTCAGTTTTTTTTACCTCCGAAAAACTCTTGCTTCGGGTGTAGATTATTTGACCCCTATTCTACATATGGTTTTCATACTAACATGATCCAGAAATCCGTACACCGAAAAAGAGCTGGTCTTAAATCATTGCTTAGTCATCCTGGTCCACATGGGTATCAAAGATTTACACGGAGTATCACATTTGGCTCCGAAAAAATAATTTTTGTTCGTGCAAGTTGGCGCGGGTGTCCAACAATCAGCCTTTTTCAACCGAAGGACGGGATTCGCATGTCAATACCCTGCAATTAAGACAATTAGCTTCAGTATGCCAGTCCACCGACGCCCTTGTGGGGTTCTTTTCGCACAGACACGCGAAAGGTGGAAACGAGCCAGGAGAGGTCTAACAATGACTTGAAAGCGAATTATAAAAGCCATTACCAGCAAACTCAGCTGCGCTGGTCACTGCCGTCTTTCTGGATGGGGATCCCGAGACGGGCCATATCAATGGTTAGAGACATTGTCAGACATGGTTTAGTTGCGCCCTCAATGGCGCTCATGCATCTAAACTATTATCTTCAATGCATAGCTCCCTTCCATATTCCCTCACCTAACAGTCCACTGATAGTGCTCTAATTCATCAGCTGCCGCCTCCAATGCGCAGCTACCTACCCCACCTCCCCGATTCATCGGTGAACGAAACTGTGGAAACGAAAGCTGTCACAACTGTATGACCAGTAAGGGGGTCATACAGCTGATAATGATGATGCTTCAGTGGATTGCTTTGGTCAGCCTTTTGTGGCCGCAGAAACCATTCAATTGCCCCTCCAGCTCACCTCACTTCAAGTCCTCGGTACTGACACCCCAAGGGCGTTGGCTTATCGCGACCTCATCGGTAACTGGGATACCAAACAAGGCTAGATAGCGCCCGCGAAATGGATCACCCATTTTAGTGGTTCTGTTGTCAATATTGGTCTTCTGCTCTACTCCAAATGGCACGCTATTGTGGGTTAAATATTCGGATTTCTGCACTCAAGACATTTCATCTGCTATATCTAACGTGCAAATCGATATTTCCTCTCGTCCTGTGTACATGCATAATCGATCTGTACAAATATCCACCATATTTAATGTAGTCCGTGATTGCAGTACATCCTTCATAAAAGTTCACAGCTAATCCTGTAGTCAGAAACCAGCTTCCCATCAATCTATCCAATTTCGTCTTTGCTCCTGAGCGATGTCTATGGTGAAAATAAATCTGTAAAGTGCATTCACTCTATCGGTAACGCTGGCTATTGTTGGATTCCATCAATTTGTTAATGAGTCAACTTCCGTTCGGATGGGAGTATGGTTTGGTTGGTAGGGAGGAATGGGACAGTCTGGATACTTCAAGGGAGTAGCTTCTTTCTGGTGTGATCTGATTGACAAGCTGAATAATTTAAGCTGAAGGTTCCCCTCCCCTCGGGTAAGTCGAGGCAATGAGGATCAATTAAGAAACAGCAATAATTTCTTGCGTTTTACGGATGTGAACGGATTACACCACTTACCGTGGTGTAGACTGTGACCACCCTTGCGCCTACTTTGTTCGTTCGAATCGGAACTGCTGTTTTTATTTTATGGAATCTTATTGAACAGTATTATTCTGATTCCGGAGTGATCTAGCAAGCTGGACTCATATCTCGTTTATTTAATCCAATCAATGGAAAGACACTTGGCGAACGCAGCCCCTTGACCTAATCTTGAGATGACCTGTCTTCTGGGGGATTACGCTAAGTCAGGAAATATCTTTTCACGGAGAGACCTGTGTGTGGCAGCCTTATACAGATAAGAATGCGGATCTTCAAGAAGAAAGCCTTGCTTCACGTTACTAGCTTCACTGTGTGTGAGACATCTCA